TCGTGAGTATTAAGCAGACCCCATCATGGTAGCTCGCCGGGTTGAGGGTCTAGACAGGTCTTCTAGGAGGCTGGATGACGTCTCCCCCGGTTAGGACTGTTGGCTGATGTCGTTTGGCTCAGTCTTCACAAGTGTCCCTCCGGGCTCCTCTGTAGATAGAGTACAATCTTCTCAAGAGCTGCAGAGACCACCTGGAAGTCCTGGACATCCACCAGACCGACCAGGGCAACTACCCCACGTGCATGATCTGGTACCCTCCGCTCACCAAGGAGCTCTTCATGCTCGTTTGCAACAGTGGCTACAAAGTGAAACTTTTTAATTCTACCACAAAAATGTGCAGGTAAGCCGCACGGCTTCCCGCTAACCTGGCACGGAAGCCCATCTCCCGGCCCCCGGCCTCTCGCGAGTCCCGACCGGCGAGCGGCTCGGCCGCCATTGCCGTCACTCACGTCGCAGTGGAGGGAACTGAGGCAGCTTCGAGGTAAGTCATTGTCACCCAAGGTCAAATGGCCGGGAAGTGCCCGAGGCAGGGTTCTGAGCCCAACACCACGCAGAGACGAGGTCCCCAGACCTCAGTGCCTTGGTCTTCCCTTGGGGACGAGAACAGGTGTTTGCACCACGCAGAGACGAGGTCCCCAGACCTCAGTGCCCGAGACTCAGTGAAGGAACCGGAAAAGTGGCCGGTGGCCCTGGTCTTCCCTCGGGGACGAGAACAGGTGTTTCCACGTGATTACTGCCGGGCGTCTGATTTTTTTCCTACTCTTGCTTCTTAAGGGAGTTTTCGAGTTCACCCGGTTGCGGCCCTGTGTTCGCTCCGTAGTTCCCGAGCCCCCGAGCGAGCCGGGTGCTGTTCCAGGTGCTGAAGGCGGCAACGAACACGAAAGCGTGTTTCTGTCGTCCGGGCTTTGCGTTTCAGCGGGAGAGCAGGGTTCACAGGAGAGGCCGGCCCGGAGAGCCACACCGAGGGCAAGAGCCCATGGTGCTTTAAAGCCAGGAGCCAAGAGAAGCTTCCAGGAGGGAAGGGTAGATAGAGAAGAGGCCAAAGGACCAAGCCCAGGGCACCCGAGGCTCGGCGCCTTTGAGCAGCATCCTGCAGCCCGACATCCGTCCGCGTCGGGGGCCGGCCTCCTGTGCGGCTCGGCCTGTGGGTCCCAGGGTGTGCGCCTCACGACAGACGGAGACTATTGTACACCGTCCCCGTGCCCGGCTCATCTTCCACAGCCCCGCACAGTGTTATCCCACTGGGGTTCAGAGAGGTGACAAAACGAGGTCCAATAGCTGGTCAGGGGAGGGCGGTGCTCGGTGCCCGAACCCAGCTCTGGCTCTGTCACCTGCTCCCAGGCCCCAAGGCGGCCCCGGAGTTGGGGTCATCCCTGGCACAGCTGCTTCCCCTGCGGGCGTGGCTGGGACGAGCGGGGGCACCGAGGCAGGAGGGATAGAAGTGAGGCTGCCTCAGTGACCCGCTAGATGACTGGCCAACAGAAGCTGGCCCCCTGCTTGAGCAAGGTCGTTTTTTTTTTTAAAATGTATCTCAGTAAGATTGGTTCTCAAAAGGCCAGGATCACCCGGGATCTTATTTTCTTTCTTTCTTTCTTTTTTTTTTTTTTTAAGTTCTTTCTAGAAGAGCCCAAGGAGAAATGACTGAGAAATGCCATGTCACATGGCAGGAGCAGGAGAGAAATCTGGCACAATTAAAAAATATTCATTCAAACACCGGGAAAGGGGGCCTTTGAAAGAAATATGTAAGGAGGAGTTTTAGGAAGATTTTGGAATCTTTGTACATCACATTTAATGGGCACGAGCTTTGGGGGCAAAGAATATCGCATAGATATGGCCAGTCCTGAGAAAATCTGAGTTTTCTGAGTAAGTGGTTTGGGGGGGCCGAGGACCCTAGGCTTGGGGTTCCTGCTAACATTGACTAACTAGGGACTTAGAGCCACGCAGTTAGGAGTTTGTGCAATTGAAGATCAACCCGAAATTAGCAGGAAGCATCTTTCCTAAAAAATAACTTACCGAGGTGAAATTCACAAAACATGCTGTGAAACGGGTTAAAGTGAACCGTTCGATAAAAAATAACTTACCGAGGTGAAATTCACAAAACAGAAAGCATGCTGTGAAACGGTTTAAAGTGAACCGTTCGGTGGCATTTAGCGCAGTCACAATATTTGCCACCTCCTCTTCTCTCTGATTCCAAAACGCTTCCGTCACGCCAAGGAAAACCCCTCACAAAAAGCATCTTGTGAGTTGCAGGACCACACCTTAACTGGGGAGAAATCGTCTTTTCACGGCAAATGCAAAACGATTTTACAATGCATTGAAAAATATTGAAAAGAACACGAAAAGGCCGTTCACGGAAAAAGGCCAATAAACCTGCGAGCAGATGCTCACGAGTGCATCAGAGATGCACATCAGATCAGCAAAGATAAAAATGATCGATAGCGCCTCGGGCTGGCAAGGGAGCGAGGGAGGAGCACTCCCCCAGCTGCCGCTGGCGGGGGTGGCAAGCCGGGCCGCGTTTTGGGAGAGCGATTCGTCACCGTCTATTAAACTTTATCGTATCTCCGACTTCCAGGAATGCAGCCCACAGAAGGACTCGCGCAGTGTGCCAAGGCATAAGTAAAAGGATGTCTTGTTTGAAAATATTTTTTAAAATGGAAACAATCCAAATGTCCATTAATAGGGGATTAGTTAAATGACGGCTTGTCTGCACTGAGACACGATGCCGCTCTTAGGAAAGAGAAAAAGAGAGGATGATAAGCGAGCTCTCTGCCCAGGAGCCTGGAGAAAGCTCCAAGATACAATATGGGATTAGAGCAACAAATCGCCAAATAAGCATGACTATATTTTCATAGAAAATTATATTTATATAATTTATATTTTTTCCATACAAGATTGTAATTATATAGGTTAGCATATGTCTAAATGAAATTATCGCGTCATGTACACCAAACTAGTCCCCGTGATTATTTTTGGGATAATGTAGAAGTATGGCTAGATTTTCTACTTGAAGTTCGTCTGAACGTGTGAAATCTCTCGCAGTGCATAAGTAACACTTTTTCAATCAGAAGAAAAATGTATTAATTTTATGAAATTGTCAGATCGTTTCAACGATACTAGGCAATAGCTATGCAGCTCCTACGATGTTCCAGAAACGGTTCTGAGTGCTTTATACACATTAAGTTATTTAATGCTCACCACAGTTCCATGGGCTAAGTGCTGTCATTATCTCGGCTTTAGCAACAAAGACCCAAGGCACAGGTTGACCTCTCTTGGTCGTCTGTTCATTTGTTTATAATTTAAATTAAGATATAAATCACATACCATAAGATTTACCCTTTTTTCAGTGGTTTTTACTATATTCACAAACTCGGGCAACCATCGCTGCTATTCAATTCTACCAAGTATCACTCATTTGTGTCCCAAGCACCTACCTTAGTGCCTGGCACAGAGAGGTGCCCCCCCAAAAGGCTGCTGAATGGATTAGCTCTTGGTTTCTTCAGCACGTGTACACAGAGTGTCTACTGCACCCTCCAGACGTGGGCTGGGTGCAGGGGACACGGGGAGGAAACACACCCCAACAAACGAGGGGCTCAGAGTATAAGACGAAATAGCTACCGGCCTTCCACAGAGGCAGATCCAGCCGTTGTGGGGTATGAAGTGTATTCAATTTTGTGGGCCCTAAGATACATAATTAAGAGTAAAAACTGCCTAGGGCCCTTCCAGAGCCTCAGAAGGCACCTGTACGCGTGAGAGGCCCCGCGGCTCTGGGCTCGGAGTTATGTCTGATTCCTAATTAGTGGGGTAGGGTCTGAGTTAAGGAAGTCCCCCCCTCCACCCCTGCTGCGGGGGTTCGGTTTACTGCCAGCTGGATTCCAGATCGCTTTTGGGGGAAGTCTGCGTGTTGCACATACACCCAAGTGTCAGACATCTGGAAAGTGGACAGCATCTCATTCTCATGCTTGGGCCGGCCGCTGGGAACGGGGGTGTTTGCTTGCGTTCTGCCAATGCATGTCACTTCCTCGCCATGTTTTCCTCATCCCTCGTTCACGTACACGTTCTTGGGGCATAATGTTCCCTGCACTCAGCTGTCAAGGAAGGCGAGTCGCAGCCTCCACCGCTAAAAGCACGCTCCACGGTCAGTATGCCTGGGGCACTGGCCGTTCAGAGCTGTTGCCGCTTAACTTATGGCGGCTATTAGCAGTGGTTGAGAGAGAAGTTCCTCCGGGTGGGCTTGGTTGAGGGACAGGACAGGGAATTCAGAATTTAAAATGCGTAGCATGTCACGAAAGGTAGCCCATCATAAAACCTCTGTCCCGATTTGTGGCATTTAAAAAGGGTTTCCTCTTCCTCCTGCAGAAAGACACTTCTCGGGCCGGTCTACGGCTCTCCCATCGAGCAGATACAGATCCTCCCCGTGAAAACCGCCATGGAGCTGCAGAAACGCTACCTGGTGTTTATTAACAGAGACAAGGTATTCCTCTCCGCTCGCCACCTCCGTAAGACATCCGGCTCTGAGTGCTTTGAGCGGCGGTTGGCCCCAAGTGTCGCAAGACTCACGGATGCTTGGTTTCGCAGCCGAGGCCGCCGCCTCTCATCCCAGCCCAGGGTGATACTGAAAACTGTCACAGTTCAGAAGCGAGGAGGCTGGGGGGGCAGTGCTCAGTTACCCTCTCTCCCGCACCCCCGGTGAGGACACGTGGTCCACCAAAGTTCTTCTTCTTTCCGACTTATTTACAGAGAAAAAAATCTTATAAAGGCATACAGATCAGCCGTATGTTTAATGAGTAATCTGTATTGAAAAGCATAAAATCACAGGATGCCAGAATTATTCTGGAAAACCGTGGGCGCCCGACTATGGGAACAGGAGGAAAGCTTTCCTTCTGTGTCCCTGGTGGAACCTGGTGTCTCTCTCCTAAGGGACCGTCCGCAGGGGTCGGCGCGTGCGGAACCTCAGCCACGTGAAACGCGACTCTCACACACTGACACGGTCCCTGACACACAGGTCCTCCCAGGAAACAGACCCGGAGGTAACGGGCAAACTGGGCCAGGCCTGGCCCAGGGCCCAGTTACCTGAGTCTGACTGTCCCATGACATGTTCCTTTCTAGGTTGGACTTCAGATCCTGCCAGTCGATGGCAATCCGCATAAGACCTCGGCTATTATATGCCACCCGGATGGGGTGGCCGGAATGGCCCTCTCCTACGACGGCCGCTGTGCCTTCACAGCGGGAGGACAGGATCGCTCGGTGATACAATGGGAAATCAACCTAAGGTACGTGACGGGGAGAGGAGCTCGGTCCCTCCAGCAAGGGGTCAAGTGCAGATCCTTCTTTCCACTCAGCAGCAGCGGCAGATGTTCAGCCCTGACTACGTGCCAGGCACCGTGCTCGGCCTGCGGGTACAGGGATGAACCAAGACTCCGGCCTTGCCCTCAGGTAGCTCCCCATGACATCCGTTCACGTCGCTATGGAGACGGAAGGTTGCTCTCGTCTCAGGGACCAATGGTATTTGCAGTCGGCGCCGTGTGGTTCCACCATGGTCACTCGTGTCCCCTGAGACGCTTCTTGCTCTGTCGTCAGCAAATCCGTACCAGCCGGACAGGTCTGGCCCGAATCTCCAAAGCACGTGCTCCCGAAACAGTAAGAGCTTGTTCGAAGTTCGTGTTTTCGGTCTGCTCTCCTCACCCATCCACCCTGAGCCGAGACTGCCTCAAGTGAGCCTGAGGACTCCAGGGTCGAGTGCTGGCTGGCGCGTGACGTTGAGGATACAGACCTGGGCTTGAATGCAGACCAGTTCTCTGGTGGCTGTGGGACCCCTGGTTTTCAGATTCCTAGTCAGTGAAAGGGGGGTGATCCTCAGGACTTTATAGGGTCCCCGTGAGGAACGGGTCAATCTACGTAAAGCGCCCGGCGCAGAGCCAAGGACTCGATAAATAAATGGTTTCCTTTCTTCCTTCCTTCCCCTGGAGAAGGCGTTTGCTTAAGAGCTCAGGCTCTTTCTTACTAAAAAGAGCGGAGGCGGGTGGGGGGGGGTTGCGGCAAGCACACAGCGACCTCCTGACCTCCCCAAGTCCTCCCGCGCTGCCCCAGGGCAGAGCCGGTTCCGTCCCTACCCACTGCCTCCAAGTTCCTGCCCCGCGGGTGGCCCCCTGCCCGGCAGAGTCTCACTGAGGAGCCTTCCTTCCTGAAGGCACAGACTTGATGTGTGGCTCCCAGGGAAAGCACGCCCTGTGCCACCTGCTGGAACCCCGGTGGTTTCAGACTGTAGTTGCAGCTCTGACCTTCACCCCCGGCCTCCGCCTGAGGAAGCAGATCTTGGGAATTTAGAAGCTGAGGGTGACGAGCTGCTCTCCCATCAAGGAGCTGCTCAATTCCTTGGCCCCTCGCCTGGGACCTGGGACCGCGGGGGCCAGCGACACCCTGGCGGGAGAACAGAACCTTCCCTTCTTCATTTTTGTCGTCTTCTCAGTCATCTTAGGGTCTGGAATGGCAGAGATTTAAAGAAAGAGAAAAGGCTCCCGCTTTTCTCCAGCTTTCCTGCGCCTGGCCAGAGTCCAGGCTTCCGGGAGTTTCAATTTAATCTTTTGTAGGGACAAAGGATCGTTATAAACCAATTAGCACTTCATCGCCGCTTCTGGTGTCTTAATATGTTCAGCGCTTCACTAATGGGAAGAAATGTAAAAACCCTAAACAAGGAAACGCACGAAATTCCCAACTAGATCCGCTTGCTGGTGGCCGAGATGTAGGGTTAAAAAAAGATGAGACATTCTCTCCTGTCCCGGTCACTTTAAGCAGTGCACTCCTAGGCCCACTGACGGTCACCACGGCACATGGCACCTGCCCCCCGCTAGAGACCACTGCCCGCCATCCTTCCCCCCGAGTCCACTCCGACATACCCTCTCTTCCTCCCGTGTCCGCTAGCGTGCCAACCCTTTTCTGTCCTTTGTCTGGCATCTGTTTTCTGGGATTTTTTAAATTACTTTTTTTACGCTCAACCTCATGCCCCCCTCTAATCCCGCTGGCCCGCTCAGACAGGAGCAGGAAGACCCGGATTCAAGTCTCGCCTTCCCCGCCTGCCTGCTGCGTGGCCTCAGGCGCGTCCCTTAACTTCTCTGAGCCGCGGTTGCTCCTTCTGTTAAATATCGCCACCCAGTTCAGCTGGTGTGAGGGTCACGATTATAACCGCGGCTGTTGCTCACCTTCCTCTTCTTCCCCTGGAGAGCATTTAGTGAGCGCTTACTGCATGCTACTGACAGTGCCGCCCGCTTCCCGAGCTTTATTTAGCTCGTTCCCCAGAAGTACTGTGTGCCTTTCCGGGCACGTAGTAGGTTGTCGATCAACGTACTCCCCTTGTGTGCCCCGGTGGCCTCTTTTTTGGTCACGAGTGTTAGAGACCCAACTTAGGCAAAAAGAGGACTTTATGAGGTCATCGGGGGGGGACTTTATGAGGTCATCGGGGGGGACTTTATGAGGTCATGGGGACCTGCGGTCGCCGCCCCGCGGGAGGAGCGGGGACAGTGCGCACTCAGTGCCCTCGGCGTGCGCCCCGCTCTGTTCCA